GTCCCATTTCACTGATCAATTCAGACGTAAAAATCATAAGTAAAGCTTTAGCAATCAGATTGGAATCAGTGATATCCACTCTCATAAGCACAGATCAAACTAGGTTCATCATCATCAAGGGAGACAGTCTTCAGAGAATACACATAGGTTATTCATTCTAATTCATAAATATAACAGCAAAAAATCTCCATATATATCACCGTGTATAATAGCTTCTCTGGATGCTGAAAAGGCATTTGATAGGGTAGAGTGGTCCTTTCTCTTTGCCTTTCTTAAACACTTTGGATTTGGCCCATATTTTATCAACTGGATAAAAACATTATACAGCTCACCTTCTGCCTCTGTCTCAACAAAAGACATATATCCAGAGCTTTTCAGCTACAAAGAGAAATTCAGCAAGGATGTGCTTTTTCACCTTTATTGTTTTGTCTGTTTATTAAACCCTTGGCTGCTTCTATCAGACAGTGCGATAAAATCTCAGGTATACAGTCAAAGTCATACCACCATAAAATCAGTCTATATGCAGATGATGTTTTACTATATATATTACTAACCCTTCACTGTCCCTTCCATCAGTTCATGATCTGATAAATAAGTATAGCAGCGTGTCTGGCTATTCCATTAATTGGTCCAAATCTGAGTTTCTGCCTCTAAGTAAATTCAACCGGGATGATGGGGTCCATGATGTACTATTTAAACATATCACACAGTGTATTAAATATCTTGGTATTCATGTCTCTTCAAACATAAACGATTTGTATAAACTTAACTATATACCTTTAATGCAAGAAATAAAGGATGATGTAGAAAGGTGGAATAAATGACCATCAACTCTAATTGGCTGAATATCAGCAGTTAAAATGAATATCCTCCCTAAAATCAATTATCTGTTCTCTATGACCCCCTGTTACCCCACTGTCAGGCTGGTTCTCCTATCTTGACAATGCAGTCACTAAGTTCTATTGGAAGCACCAAAAGCCTCAAATCAAATTAGCTACCCTCCAGAAACCTAAACATCTTGGAGGACTTGGAGCCCCAAATTTCTCCTACTACTTTCTATCACACCAATTGCTTTACATCAGACGTTGGACAAGTAGCTCAAACCAACCCTGGCTAGACATTGAGGAAAGTTTAATTCAAGAACTGGACATTAACGGTATTCCATTCATAAACAAAACTATAAAAAAAACAATTTTATAAATACAGTGCAATAAGTTTTACCCTGAATGCTTGGTGGAATTCAAACAAAATTCTTTACTACAGCCACTCTCCCTCCAATCAAACTCTTTTGTGGAACAATCCCATGTTTTTAATAAATAACAAACCTTTTATATTTTCAGCCTGGAAACAGAGAGGAATAACCAGCCTGGCACAGTTGTTCTCTGAGGGCTTGCTCATGACCTTTGATGACATCAAAGAAAAATACAATATGCCAGATAATTGTCACTTTCAGTATATACAACTCAAAGATGTTCCAAAGAAAACAGTTAATAGTGAAAATTCCTGTACTCCCCCCCCCCACACTTAAAACTACACTGCCTTAAACCTCAGAAAATGTTATCACAAATATATAAACTTATAGCCTCAAAGGACAACACTGTCTCACTCCCAACTGAAAAATGGACCTCAGATATAAATGAAACATGTAATCGCAACTGGAAAAATATATGCAGTGACGTCTTCTCTATGACCAGCAATTCAAAACTCCAGCTAATTCAATATAAAACCCTTCCCAGAGCATATATTACAGCCTCTAAACTACATCATATGGGATTTAGTCACAGTGATGCATGTCAACATTGTCCAGCTTTACAACAATTGTCATGCTGTCATGCTTTCTGGAATTGTCCCCCAACTCAGCAGTTTTGGTCAGAGGTCATGGACAGGCTATCACAGATTTTGGGCCTTGTCATCCTTTTATGTTCCATTGTAGCACTACTTAATGACCTCAAGTGGGTGGGTGTTTGGAAGGGGGTTGGGTGCTTGTGGTACCACATCACCTTATATTTGTATGATCATTAATAAATGGAGTTGTGGCATTAATAGTGAAATGAAAAAGAAAAATTTTATGTCCCTTGAAAAAGGTGGGATGGTGGTGTGGCCAAGGAATACTGGCCCGGGAATATTATTAAAGAAAAAAAAAGTTATTTTTTTATTTCGAAGTGAAGGTTAGGTTCAAAACCTGATTGATATTAGAAGTTGCAGTTAGTTTTTATAACCAAGTACATGCAGACTTCCTGTTTGCTGTCTTAAGCCTTCTGCTTGGTCCCACAGTATAAACTACTTTTCACTGTATCCATAGTTTAGTTTTAAAATAAAGGTTTGCTTGAAAAGCTTTGAACTCCTGGCAAGGCAGCACGGTCTCCCATCCAGTCACTGAGCTGGATCAGCCTTGCTCGGCTTCATAAATCAGTCAAGCTTAAGGGTTCCCAGCCGCGTAGAGCCACTGGTTGAGGCAGGCTTAGAGTATTGGCCATCTAAAGTATCCCACCATCTTATTAGGACTCAATAGAGAATTACTTTTGATCTTTAGTTCCTTTTCTCCTATTCATTTTATGAAACTGTAAAAATACAAATAAATCCTTTTTAGCTCATACATATCTCAATGAAGCACAAATTCTTACAGGATATGAATCTCACTGACATGCTTGACAGTAACTAGGTCCACGTTAAATTTACCCGCCATTATGGAAGCAAAGAAAAGCTATTTTAACAGACAGCTACATAGCATATTGCTTGTTCTCATAGGTACACAAATGATACGAAGCAAAAAAAAAAACAAGTTATACTTATAAAAGCAAACTGATTCTAACTGTGACTTGAACATGAGGCGACAACGAGCGAATTACGACTCTTTTTTCCCTTATGAGAATCGGAAGAGAACATGAATCCACATATTATAACGTGAATAACCTGAAGAGGCCAGTAGGCCATGATCTAAGACTGCAAACAACAAATGAAACCTTCTATCACATGAACAGTCTACATTCGTGGTCTACTGAGACCATGACACTGATTGCAACTTCTATTGTCAGTTAGGTCTCAATACAAGCCCACCACATTGCTTAGTTTCTGACATGAGACCAGACCAAGGGTTCTCATAGTTTTGTATATACTGGCTGAAGCTGGAAGCCAATACAGGTCTTCTAAAATAATTCAGTAGAATATATAGCCAAGTACATGCAGTCTTGCTTAGCTTCACAAAACAGTCAAGCCTAAGGGTTCCCAGCCCCACTGATCCACTCAGTGAGGCAAGATTAGATATTTGGCCATTTAAAGTATCCCACCACTCTATTAGGACTCAACAGAGGCTGACTTTTTAAAAGTTCTTAATTTAGAATCAAAGTTATTTTAATTTCAAAGTACAGGTTAGGTTCAAAACCTGATTGCAACTTCTAATGTCAATTACATTTTAATTCAAGCCCTGACCAAGCCCCACATTGCTTAGTTTCTGACATGAGACCAGACCAAGGGTTCTCATAGATTTGTATACACTGGCTGAAGCTGGAGGCCAATACAGGTTTTCTAAAGTTATTCAGCAGAACATATAACAGAGTACAAGCAGGTTCAAAACCTGATTTCAACTTCTAATGTGAGTTAGTTTTCAACACCAGCCCTGACAAAGCCCCAAATTGCTTAGTTTCTGACATGAGACCAGACTTTTTTTTCCGTTTTTCACCTTGGATCTATTTCACTGCAATCATGACTAAAGATCACTGAACACTGTGTACTTTCAACTTACAGACTTTTATTCCTGTCCTTATAGTCAGTTATAGAACACATTTAAGATGGTTACCGTTCTTATGACGTTGTCTGACCCAGAATAACCCAGTCTCCGTGCAAACAATTTTACATGTGAAGGAATGATTGTCATCAATACACCACAAAGACTTACTTTAAACACCAGTGGCCTGAAATAGTGTATCAGATAAGCATATACCAAACAATATATTTTACATGAATGAATGAATAAGACTTAACATTAAAATTACATACTACACATATATTGTCATTACATATACATATTTAGCATACTAAAAATCCTATACCAAAGTGAGTCAGTTCACCAAAATGAGTTCTCTAAATAAAAGCCTTTAAAGAGAGATAATAATTATCCAGGTAGGCCAATATAGTGATAGGCTGTTACTGGAGTTAGTGAACAGAGAACAGGGAACGTTTTGTTCATTCTTGTGTGCTGCAACAGTAGGCTGATGAATAGGTGGATATAGACAGCACCATTCTGTTGTTTTTTTTTTCCAGAATGATAGTGAAAGGAGAAACAAACTGAAGATTAAAGTATTGGGCATACTATTTGCTATTAGTGGGGAAAGAAATCAGCTATTAGGTTTTGCACCCATAGGGAAGTTTAAACATGGTGCTATTAAGCTGAAGTTGAGCTTCTTTTAAATACATAACTGAAACAAATAACTGATAACTGAAACAAATAATATAACAACATTTTCAATTTAACCTAATTTACTGTTTAGATTGCTAAATATCTTCCAAAACAAAGCTGTCGATAGGAAACAGGGACGAATGGTGTGACTTCGGCATGCTTGAACAGTCTGTTGTGTTCTGCAAGCGTTGCAACTATGGCAGCAGAGAAGGCCGTTATTGGCGTCCTTCTAGTGTATTCTATTAAAAAAAACTTAACAATAAAACATGTCTTCTAACATGTTTAAATGTTGCGCACACAGAGCTGTAGCGGCCATATTTGTAGAAGACCTTATTAGAATCCATTGTGTGCCTGGCTTTTTTTTTTAATTCGGCGGGGTTTACATATGCGTGTCGGCTGATTGGGTAACACTGGGTAACACCTCTAAAATACCCATCAAACGAGAGAAAACGAACATCAAAGCGCGTTGAACGCCGTTTCGCACCGTTATAGAAATCACGAATATTTCTCGTTTTATGTGTACAAGAAAACAAATGTATCTATTATGCTTAAAGTAGTATTGGCTGTGCTAGTGGCCCGAGGGCTTTTATTTTGAATGTACAAGTATAGGCACACAGTTCCTGGCTTCATGTAACGTCTTCGCAAAGAATTGAAGTTGTTCGTTTTGCATTTGCTAAAGGACATTTGAATTATTATAACACGCAGTTTAATCGTAGAGTGTTTTTTAAGCAAACAACTTCATCTTTAGTGTATCAACCATATCGTCTCCTGGGTGCTGTAGCAAATGGCTCTGTCGGCTTGCCGAACTATTGTGAACGGGAATTCCATGTTTATAATCAGAAACAAAATTGCTCGGTTTGAACGATGGAGCTTTAACGTCGCTGGAAAGCTGTTTCGTAGCTGTGGTTCTGTTTTTAACGAAAGACCAGCAACAGGTAATATGTTGCAAAAATGATCTTTGTCACCAGGGGGCAGCACGTGCCTTTTTAAACTGACTGTAGTACACAAGAACGTTTTAAAGCTGAAGCCGTCTATTCTGGTCCTGTATGACTGAAGTCCGGTGTAGTTTGGTTATTTCCATGTTCATGCACGCCAATTTAATTTATCACTTATTGCCAAGTTTAATTTTAGTTGTAAGGAAAGTCTCGTGACTGTACTGGACTCCGCTAGATGTTTTATTTGTAAAGCAAAAAAGCACACTAAAAAGTTGGCTTAAAAAAAGCTTAGCTTATTGGCTAGTATTGGTTATATTATAGCGGTGATCCTGATTCCTGTCTGAGTGGTGGGATTGAACCCTGTTTTGACAGAAACTTTCCTTTGACCAGAAATAAACTGTGTCGTCTTAGGGATTAAGAGAAAAAAATAATTACATCATAAAAAATAGATACTTGGGCCTCTTTGTATCAATATTATATTTAAACCTAAAATATCATATTATATAATTTTTCTCCCACTCCTATTACTCAGTGGGAGATCTAAACCTTTAGATATTACTATGTACCCTTTCCTTTATGTATACATTTGTATGACTTTTTTTTGGAAATTTGCTATGGAAATATGTCTAAGTATCATTTATAAATCAGAAAGCATTGGTGGATCATTCTACTGAAATGTTGTGGTAGTGACTGTTTTGGTTTTGACCGTTTCTGCTCATTTTGAGCATAACTCAAAAACACTAGCCAGCGTATGACTAGAGAACACAACTTTGAACAGTTGTACACACAAAATATTTTTCTCTAAAACACAAAATAATTACTTAATTGCAGAAAATAGGTATTTCGGTTAACTTTTTGCTGTCTCAATGTACTTTATGTGGATAAACAATTTTTGTAAATAATTCATATTTATTATAAATAAACTATTATTGGAAATAATTCTGTAAAATGTGATAATATTCTAAAGACTAGAATACTTTCACTGTATTCAAGTTCATTTACAAGTTTTTGGTATGTTTCATTGCTCAATAGCAGCCAACTGCTGAAGTGCTGATAGTGGTAACTAGTAGTAGTGTTAGCAGATTATCATTTTTACTTAATTACAATGTGTGTTGTTGATCATGCTAGAATAATATATTTCATGCAGTTGTTGTTTTCATGTTCTAAGTATTGGGTGCAAGCCTCATTTGGTGTAAATAGTAGTAATATAATTATAGAACTATATTTCATTACGTATACCACAATGTTTTTATAATTTGACTTTTCTGTTAATAAATTACAGTTGGCAAGCAAGTCAGCATTTCTTTGACAGAATCGAGACATTATGTATGCCAGAATGACTGAAGAAAAACATATAAACAACTTTTTTTTATGACTGCTTTGCCTTTAATGTTGGAAACCACATATTTCAGTTAAGGAGGGAGAAGTCAACTGATTATTTCACTCAGGAAAACTTGGATAATGGATGGTACATGACCATCAAAGGGCCAATATAATATTGTTTTAATTACGGTTTACTTTGTTTTAGTAAGATTACTCATTGGGACTGATGATATAACAGTCTTTTACCCTCTCTCTCCCTCTCTCCTTTTCCCTCTCTTTTTCAGATTTCTATCTGTAAGCAGTTATGTTTATGATATATAATCTCTGATGCCGCAGGTCAGACAGTGGTTACAGAGAAGAATGGTCCAGTGGTTACTGTGGGGATTAACAGGCCAGAGGTGCGTAATGCAGTGAACCAAGAGACTGCCCAGATTTTAGCCAAGGAGCTTTCAGCTTTTGATCAGGACGACACCCTCAGTGTTGCTGTGCTGCATGGAATAGGTAACAGTCTTACTTTGCCTGTACTAAGCACATGCAGCCAGAGTTCAGTTTTGCTGTTTGCACAAGCAAATTTTCTTATGTTTCATATTAAAGACAAGCCAAGTGATTTCTGTCCTTTTCTCTCTTTTTCCACATTGAATGTGATTCTAGTACAAACCCAATTCCAAAAAAGTTGAGACTGTAGGTAAAACACAAATGAAAACAGAGAGCAGTGATTTGTAAACTGGGTTTAATAGGTTTTTGATTGAAAACAACACATAGAAGACATATTTAATATTTAACCAACTTCCTTTATTTTTGTAAATATATGCTAATTCCAAATTTGATGTCAGCAACACATTCCAAAAAAAGTTGAGACAGAGGCAATGTAAGACTGAAAAGTTTGTGTAATGATCAAAAACACCTGTTCTGGAACTTTCCACAGGAAAACAGATGAATAGGTGACAGGTAATCATGATTGGGTATAAAAGGAGCATTCACAAAAGGCCCAGTCAGTACTTCTGAAAAAAACTGCTTGCACAAAAAGTCCAGTTTAAGAACAACAACATTTTTCAGCACATGATAGGAATCTGGGGATTTCACCATCTGTAGTCCATAACATTATTAAAACTGCATTAAAAACTGACATGCTTCTGTAATGAATATAACTACATAGCCTCTGTAATACTTTGGAAATACCTGTGTCTGTCAAAACAGTATGTCGCTGCATCTACAAGTAAAAGTTAAGATTCTGCTACACAAAGCAGAAGCCATCTAAGCCATCTAGCCATTGAGAAATGCCACCAACGTCTCTGGGCTAAAGCTCATCTGCAGTCCAGAGTCTCCCACTGAAAATGTGTGGTGCATTATGAAACATGTAGCACAAGAGGAAACAGGGTACTGGACATGTTATATGGCAATATTAGAGAGGTAAGTCAGCTGTTCTGCCTTCATTGGCCAAATCTTATCATAATCTGGTTAATCTAGTGCCCACTTATAGATCAATTTTTCACTGGCTGCCTGTTTCCAAAAGGATTATAAGGAAATTATGTGGGGGTGTAGCATAGTGGGAAATGCCACTGCCCTCCACGCAGCAGACTGATGCTTGATTCCCCACTTACACCATGGTACACCAGGAAAGCTGGCAGAAAGCTTTAGTTGAAAATGATGTTTTGAAGCAAAACAACATATTTTTCATGTTATGGTTTGAATTTGTACAGTGCGATGTGCACTGCATGCTGAACTTTATTTATTCTAAGACCTTAGTAGTTTGGTTTTGTTTAGTTCTTCCAACAAGACAACTAAATCCACATTCAGCTACCGCTTTACATGATTTAATTGTAAATTGCTCTGCCAAATGCAGAAATATAAATGGACAAAAGAGATTAAGGAGGCTCTTCAGGGTGCATTAGAAGAGACAGATTGGGTCTTGCTTCAAGCTTTGCATGGAGACAACACTGACAGACTACATGCCACAGTATTACAGACTACAGCGACTTTTGTGTGGATAATACAAGTTTGAAAAAGACAGTGCACTGTTTGTTTAATGACAAACTGTGAATCACAATAACCTGAAGGACCTCCTGAAGAAAGGAAGAGGGCCTTTGGATCAGGAAATAAGGAGAAGATGCAATGGGTGCAGTCAGACCTTAAAAAGAAACTGGCTTTGGAAAAAGACAGAGACATGCTGGAGCACTGCAAAAGAACAATTTGAAGGAGGTGGGGAATGGATTGAGAAGCATCCCTGGCTACGATCAAGCTGGAAATCAGACTGGGGGGCCTGGACTAAATTACTTAATCATTTAGCCTTTCTTTAATACCTCCAGGTCCAGCTTGTTTGTGCCACTAGGAAGTTTGGCATTTGGCACTCCTCAGCATTGGACTGTAGAACAGTGAAGCAACTTTTGTACTTTTTTGCGAGTGCTGTTTCTGAACTGAGACTTAATCATCCAACATCAAAACCAGCTCTTACTAATGATCTTGTGGATGAATGCAGTCAAATACCTACACCAGATTCCAACATCTAGTGTATATATAAAAGAGTAGATACTGTTAGTGTAGCAAGGGGAAGTCCATCTCCCAAATAATATCCTTGGTTTAAACAAATCTATCTATTCAAATCAGTTTTTTCTAGTTGTTTTTTTAATCCCACTTTTTAAATCCTACTGTTTTACTTTTGTGGGGTAATTCCTGTTATGTGCAATTTTATGGTCTGTTTTAGGAGGACATTTCTGTGCGGGTTATGATCTTAAGGAGCTTTCCCAGGGCTCTGCCTCTCTCAAGCTGAAGCAAGATGTTAACCAAGGTCCTGCACCAATGGTGAGAGAAGGATATAAATCCTGTTCTTTTTCAGACAATCCACCTATCAATGCAGCTGAAGGCAACATTAGTGATCTAGTGGCAAGGTTCATTTCAACATTATTTGTACTGGTTTCCAGTGTTTTTGTGACTCTTAGTGCAGCTTTTGAAACACGGCATTATGTCTACATTGATCTGTTTATTCATCAGTAATACAGTAATTTATCAGTACTGGGGTGTCCAATGCTTGTCTCAATTTTAGCTAAGCACTGATGTAATGGAAAGATTGACTGATGTAATGGAAAGCTATCAAAACTGAACATTTGTTTGAAAGAGTGTTACTCTTGAGGTTGTTTGCTCAATGTGATCAGCTCTAATGGCAAATTCTTAGTAATGGTGATTTCTGTCATTCTACTACTGTATAGAGAAATCCACATTCTTAAACCTTAAAGTGACCATGACTAATTTAAAGTCTGTTGCAGGGTCCCTCTCGTCTGAGGCTATCCAAGCCAGTGATTGCGGCAGTGAGTGGTTATGCTGTGGCTGGGGGATTGGAGCTAGCTCTGTTGGCTGATCTTAGAGTGGTGGAAGAGAGTGCCATCATGGGGGTTTTCTGCCGCAGATTTGGTAAAATGGTCAAGAATTAATCTTCTGTATACACAGTAGAACTTAAAAGACTTCTCAATTTTTATGTTACATAAACCTACAGACATGCATGTTTTCCTAGCTTGATGAAGTGCAAATATGACTAACTACCTATCGATAATGATAGTTATTTGATTGTCAGCCACAGCAGTTTATAAAACTGTGGACCTTTCCATTAATGTCCTATTAATGGCTTATGTGAGGTGCAAAGCGTTGAATTTGAGGTCATGTATAGGATATGTTTGTGTGTTTTTTTGTTTTTTTTTTTCCCCCAATTTGAGCACCTACAGTAGCATCATATGGAATGGGTATATCATGTAAATCAATCAAGCAATTTGTTTGGGGAAAAAATGACACCCTTTTGTAACTGACTCATTCATATGTTCTATACGGCATCTTGAAGAAGGTCATCTGAACATCTAGAGACTGTTTTCTTCTGGCCTTAGTTCTAGCCCATCCCTCCCCAGGGCTGTAAATATGACCATGATGTTTATAAATATGCCAGCTGTGCTATAATTTACTGCCAGCAACTCAATCCCATGCTGCCTGTTTCAAAAACAGAGTCATCATCATCATCCTCACTCTGTCATTAAATCAAGCGTTCTAGCATTGCCCACGTCTGCCTCCATGCCCATCCCCCAGACAGTCTGTCCCAGCTGTGCCCACCCAGGAATCTGATTCCTGCCACCATCACAGCTCTTTCAGTTTTTCCTAAACAGTGCTTTGATGACATGGCATAGGCACCAGCATGCTGTGGCATTCAGTCTGAAATCTGATTGACATGCTCATCACATTATAATCAGTAGTTTCTTTTAGTCTGTAGTGACACTGTTTGGAAGTAGAAAGTATTTTTTTCTGTTAAATTTTATTCCATCAAATGGGCCATAATATTTTTTCACCTAAAATACCTTATTAATGTTATACACTGGATCTGACATGTTGATCTCCTAATAGGGTGGGTGTCATAATGGCCTAATAACCACATATACAACCACATATTACCTACCTTATAAAATCAATCAGTACATCCCTTTTTCTTCTTTGATTTAATCTTGTTCTTTATTAAATTGATCTGCACTTCACATTTTTGAACTTTGCATCAATCTAACCTGTTTTCAAAACTTGTTTGATCTTCACATACTTTATGAAATAGATGCATTTCTTTCTCTGTAAACAGTCTTATTTTTGAACTTGGCATATATTGAATCTCTGTACTTTTCTACTTTGTTTGGGTCTTTGTCTACCTTTACTAAATTATTCAGTGCATCCCTATAAATATAAACAGCTAAAACCATTCTGTACAAGCGCTAAAGCATCTTTTTGGTAATGTTTTACCACGCTGTCACCGAAAAATTCACGATGTTCAGTGCTTGGTTTCCTTAGGTTGGTTTATTTGGCCAGACTGCTATTCTAATTTTAAGACCGCTTTTCCTCTGTCCTAACCCAGTTATTCAGACAGAACATTTGGGTTCCTTTTTTCTCTTCGCCTGAAGCACATAGCAGGCCCTCAAGCACCAGCCATTTAAAGTAATAAATGTCTTGACTTTGGTGGAAGGGATTTATTTTGGGATTCCATCTAGTAGGTTTTTTACTTAATCTTGTTTTGGCAAGAGTAATTTTAAGATGTTTTTTTTCAGGAAAACCATATGGCAAAAGCCTGGGGGAGTCCCTTGTGGTGAGAGTGACAGAGGTGCAGCACTGATGTGGCCAAATGTTTGCCTCATCACAATGACTGTTTCCTGTCATGTGACTCCAAAACCGTAGCTTCACCACAAAGTTCTAGACTTGGAGGAGAGAAAGAAGTGGTTCTGTAGAATGAAACTGGGTTTACTCAGCACTTCTTTAGCTTCTAATTCATTTTATTTATTTATTTTAAATATAGCACTGTGCAAAAGTCAGGCACCATGCTTCATTTGTTTAATTTGCAGTCAAAACATCTAAGTTATTCATTTTTCAGTGTCAGAAAAAAGCAGAAAACATTTTAACAGAAACACAGCATATATCAAATCTCTCAGTCCTGAAAGCTTTCATTTTTAAGAGAGAGAGAGAAGAAGGAAATCAAGCTGTGCTCTTGCTTCATATCTGAAAAAAAAATAAACAAAAAAAAAACTCAAACTGTATATCTAAAATGTGGAATAAAGTTTTATGGGCTGATAAGTCTACATTTCTAATTGATATTACTTGAATCATGAGAAGCAGAAAATTAAACCTACATCGAAGACTGAACTTTACAAGTGTTTATGAGAAGCATGTAAAAATATCCTTGCAAATTTCTTTAAAAAAGCTTAGAATGAGCTTCCTGAGAAAGAATGAAAGCTGTAATAAAGGCAAAAGTTGGACACTAAGTACTGAAAATTTTGCTGTTATATTTAGTTGTTGAGGCTTCTGTATAATTTTCTGTTCTATAAAATGTTTTCTGCTTTTTCCTGATGCTGAAAAATCAATAACTTGTACTTAATGGCCATTTTTATTGTAATGAAAATAATCAAAATAATGGTCTGACTTTTGCACAGTACTCTATGGGTAATATAATTATTTGATTGCAGTTTCTCGACCAAAATAGTATGAATGTTTTACAGATGTTGCATCATTTCATATGAGTAGACAGACAGACATCAGCCTTAAAGATGGAAATTATGCAATGATATTAAGCAGTCCTGATTTAGCTATTTAGGATACCTTTTGAAACTAATCTGTCTTACTGAGAGGGCTGTTTTTTCGGTAGTGTGTGTCTGTATCGGTTTGTTAACACAGTTGTACCTCTTGACTACAGTCTTGCAACGATCTTGCAATCGTACTGTGAAATACAGTGTTCAAAGTGGTCTACTCATGTGTGCACCAACTATAGTTTTTAAATTCCCTCTCATTTACTTCATCCACTAGAACTGCGAGTGATCCCCTTTTGGCTTCTCCTCAGCTGCAGTGATGCAGAATTATATGAATTATGCTGACATATTGTATTGATCCTGAGAAATTAATGACTTCCATTAATCTGTGCTGTTTTCTGGGCTTGATCCGTTTAATTTAAGCCATATGACTCATAAAACAGAACACATGTAAGCCAAGTTTTGAACATTCAGTTACTTGTTACATGTTGTTTTTTTTTGTTTTTTTTTTGTCTTTCACAGAACAGAAAACATTTGTGAGTGGAGTAAAGAGGCTTAGCCTTACTGTAGTAGTGTATATGGTTGTGTCTGGTGTGTGATGAAGCCCTATAATATGTATGTTTGTGCATAAAATTGTATGTAGAAGTTTGAACACACATGGTCAAATCACATTTCATTTTAAACTTTGACATATTGGAAAAAAGTTAAACTCAGCAAACAAATACAAATTGTGTTTCTATTTTCTTAAAATGGTAGAAAATCATAAAGCATGTAATTTGACCAGGGTACTTGGTACATAGAATTTGCTATCTGCCCCACCCTGCCAGGTGTGCCACTGATTGATGGAGGTACAGTGCGGCTGCCACAGCTGATTGGTCTGTCCCGAGCCCTGGATCTCATTATGACTGGCAGACCTGTAGGAGCTCAGGAAGCGCTTACATTCGGACTGGCAAACAAAGTTGTGCCTGACAGACAAGGTACGGAATGATATGATGTGCGTTTAACATACCACTACTGTTAAGAAACAGCTGAGAATCAGTTACTAGATTTGAACCTGCACTGTATGTCCAAAAATGACATGTTTTGTTGATTTTCTAAGTGACAATAAGAACACATCCTCTATAGGGAACACACTTAAGTATGACATTTTTCTGCAAATCTTAGTGCAGTTTTTTATTTATTTGCTTAGTTTAGCATATTGAAAAACATACAACATAAAATATAAAATGTGCCATAACTTGTGCACAGGCAACGTTTCCCCCCACTTTGTTAAATTTGTCACATAAACAATAACTGATTATTTAAATGTGTATAAATGTATTTAATAACTTCAAATGAGCATAAATATGTTGCCTGTAGATGTATACTTATTTTCACCTAGTAAATGAACAAAACATGTAATTTCATCAGGGATGCCCAAACCTTTCCATATGACTGCTTGTCTTATAAGAGCTCTCAAAGCAGTACACTCACTGAACCACAGTATGAATTCCAGTGATGATGTCAGCTGATTAGGCTAATAGGCTAAGGCTTTGTTAGAGCAACAGCCATAGCCAGGTCAGGCTAGATGAGCTGAGTGCTTATCATTGCACTTAGATGTTGCATATACACATAGAAAACATGTATTAATTCCACTATTGTTAAATTATGTTAATGACCTTTTTCATTTTATATATTAACCAGCCTTGAGACTAATCATTGGGATGAGTGTTCTAGGACTTGTGTGTCTTAAACTCAGATTGTAAGACTTACGGAAATATGAATGCCGAACTTCTGCCTAATTCTTGATCTACACTTATTCACTCCCATTATAGCTTGCATATTGAAGCTGGAAATGCAAAACCCATTAATCAGCCTGTACCAGTTACAGGTGCTTAAGAACATGTAAGAACATCTATATAATTTTTGGGGAAGAAAGTATATAGACTCTCTAAATGATAGATTTTAAGGCTTTCAGTCAATTATTTCATGGTTTTTTATTTACATATTCTTACTTACCTCTTAACACTGACATTGTAAAATAAATTGTATTACACACTGGGTTAATCTGACCTATTCAATGCCTATTTTGGTTCATATATCCAGTAAAAGTGTTATTATTATCTTAATGTTCCCAATCCCAGTCCCAGGACATCTTTGTGTTTTCTCTGCTCCACACACCTGACCAAGCCCATAAAGAGCTTGTTAACTAGTTAACGAGTTGAATGTGGTAGATGAGACAAAACACATAAACGTGCATAGTGTGGGGTCACCAGGACCAGGGTTGGGAACCCCTGCATTTGTGACTAACTAGTTAGTTAGTTAGTCAGTCACATGGCAAGTTCACATTGAAAAACTGTGAATAATTACATAAATTATTATTCACTGCAGGCCCCATTCACATTACATGCCTTAAAGAGGAATTCCACAATTTTTTCAAAACAGTCATTTGGAGGGGTTTTATGTAAAATGGTGTATTGCAGTGAAACTTGCCAACACAGATTTTCTGGTAGTGACAGGAGCAAGACGTTCTCATGGCTACAGTGTAAATATAGCAGTTTTACCAACCTAATTCCTAAAAAAATTGGGACAGTAGGTGAAATTCAAATAAAAAACAGATAGCATGATTAGTAAATCTAATAATCTGTATTTAAAAGAAAGCAGTACAAAATTAAGATATTTAATGTTTTATCTTATTTTATCTAATGCAACACATTCCAAAAAAGGTGGGACAGGGGCTATTTAAACTAGAAACAATAAATGTGATGTAATCATGCTTGAGTATATAAGGAGCATCATGCTTATACATAGGAAAGGCCTAGTCCATAATAAGTAAGGTAGGTCAAGGCCTGCCTCTATGCCAAAAAATTTAGTGGGATACTTGGTTAGTGGGATACTTGGTTAGTGGGATATCTGTGAAAGCACCATTAACATTGCTATACACATTTTGGAGAAACCAAGGACATCCATGTTTATTTTAACATAACACAGCTTTATAAAAAAAAATCTAATACATATCACAATTAGCTAAAAATAAGATTTGGACAATTTCTACGCTGAAGTGTCAAGTTTGAGAAGCAATAAAATTTAACATAAATTTGTATGACTTCAATATTGTCTACAAAATACTGCAGAAACTTTAAAGTAAAATAAGGTGCAGCATCAATATTTTCCCTTATTTATACAAAAAATACTGTGGGAAGCTTTTGTAGTGTTTGCTTTTCATTTAGTATTTTTCTTACTGTCTGTTTATGTGTGTGCGCATGTGTGTCTGTCAGCTTTACAGGCAGCTGTGGAACTTGCTGAACAGATCAGTTCCTTCCCTCAGCTTTGTCTCCGTGCTGACCGTAACTCCGCCTACCACGCTACCTTTGACTCTACCTCTTTTACTCAGGCTATGCAGTACGAGATCGACCACGGCCTGCCAGTCATCACCGCTGAATCTGTCACCGGGGCAACCAGATTCAGCTCTGGTGCTGGTCGAGGTGGAAAGTTCTCTTGAAAGAATTTGACAGTTCACAAACAGTATGACCCAAATAATAGCAGCGGTAATGTTAGTAATAGTAGTTTGAGAGAAACATTGGATTACTGTGTAATACCATATCTAATGGTCTGTTTTCCAAAGATAGTTTTTTATACTTCAGGATTTTAGCAGTGGTTTATTTGGGTTTTGTTAAATGATGGATACAGCATACATACAGACACCAGAGATGCAGAGCATGTGATAAATGCAGTTTTCCTCCAGTTTCTTCTTACATGTCCTAAAGTTTGTCTTTTGTGGATTGAAATAATATATTAAATAATCCTACTCCTTTGGTCCTTCTGAATGTTTGATGGTGTCTTTGGGTATTTACTGCTTATTTACTGAGAAGTTGTTTTCTTTTTCATAGTATTTGTAAGAAGAGACGTTTTCGCTCTTGAAAAGAGAAAGGTTTATATGAACACAATTTGCAGTGGTGAAAAATGTCAGCCAGTAACTTGCTAATTGATCTTAAAAATTGTGTAACAATTTTGGAAATGAGGAAAATCACTGAGATTTAAACAAAGCCATTTAGAGTGGTTGATGTAAAATGCTGCGTTGTAGAGAAACTTACCAACTGTGTTTTTGTATGTAACGATGAAAATTGTAAAATAGTGCTAAATCTGAAATAAATGTTTTCTTTGCATGCTATTTTTCTTTACAATGCTCTGCATGCCCCTCTCGCTATGAATGAAGTTAAACAGTAATAAAGCAAGTTTCTTTAGAATATAGTGTTTCACTTCAACTGATTCTGAATTACTTTGTTAACATCTGAGTGGTTGAATTATGCAGAAATGTTGAATAGTCAGTGGAATTACCCTTTAAAGGAAAATAAGTATATCTGGATAACTTTACAAGAGCTGAAAATGTTTCCCCAATCTTATGAAAATAAATGCTAAAGATTTTAATGAATAAATATGGATTTCTTCTCTGTTGTGATTTTTAGAATGCTTTAAAGTCAGCAATCTAGTTGACTACTGTTTTGACACATTTTTAAACTGGTATACTGGGTTTTGTGTGTGCATTAGAAGATGGAAAGAGAAAAAAAGAAAAGTGTGTGAATGACATGCCTATAGGCTGTCACAAGAGCAAGCCTTGTGTGTGAGTGTGTGTTAATTAGGGTGAAGCTCTGTCTAGACTATATGATGACAGGACAGTCACTCTGCTTACATACATACACCCTCGCTTCTAGTCATACACATGAATGTGTGCTTGAGCCATGTGGCGTAAACTTTTCATTCTTAATGAACGAAGTAATGAATGAATATGAGAATCTTCTGACAAGATTAGCACATAACCAACTGCTTTGCAGTAGGTTAAAGGTTTTAGTGGTTGACTCCAGGCAGACACATTTACCAGAATTTTCAAGGAGCAAGGAATTTAAGGAATTTAAAAATTGCATTATTATTTAAAACAGTACTAAAATGTATCCTCAATGCCTATTTTAAGGAGCATTTTGTGCTAAAATATAGGCAGTAGAAGCGAAACACTTTCCTTTTATCATAATGTGACAAATTTTTGTTCCTTCTATTTAGGGTATTTTTTCTAAATTACTGCATAATTAAGTAGTTAAGGTGAAGTAATTGAGAATGGTTTGATGATAAATGCTATATTCTAGAGAAACTTTCAGACTCATAATTATTCAAAACATTAGTGACAGTAACCAACCGTCCAAATTGTTTAATTCTAAAGCTATGCCACCGAAAGTTAAAAAACTAAATGGTTACAAATACAGTGTGATCCTTAAGACATTGCTGTGACAACACTTTGGCCTAAACTATACTTTCAAAATCCATGCTTGGCGTAGAGGTACATGCGAAGTATTTCAAGGCATAATAGTATAAAAATAAACAATATTATTTTGGATAGTAAGTAAAAAGGCAATATATGTGATGTAGACACTGTGACTCCTGGTTCCTATCATCACCACTGAAATCTGAGTTGGCAAGTTTCTCTACAATTAAGCATTTCACATTACACCACTCTGAATTACTTTGTTTACATCTAAAGGACTAAATAATGCAAAAATGTTGAAAAAAATCTCTTGAATTTCAATGTTTAAAATGCACTTGTGTTCGTGATAACTGATAAACACAAACACACACAAACATTTTATAACCATAGGCTGAATTAGGCTTGTGGTTACTTTATATAAACAGCCAATGTAGAAGAGACGCCTTCTTAAATTCGTAACAGATGAGAAGAGAATCCTAGCAGTTAAGCTCAGAGAAGAAAAATATGAAAATTGAGTGAGTTGATACATGTATATAGAAACATGACCCCTTTCTTGTGCTTTGTCTATATGTGTGTGTAGATTGAGGCATGGCGTGCTGAAGGTCTTCTGAGTATGTGTTGTTTATGGCTAACACTTGCAAGGGGCTGATGTGGGTGGGGGGCTGACTGAGCTTGGCTTGGCCAGCATCTACTGTCTTTGATGCCTGCTGATAGATTAGTCACTTCAAGATAACTCTTCACCTATCACATCCATCTTAAACCACGGCAGACACAACATACTGTGTGTACATTTGTGACCATGCAAGCCCCCTAATCCCTCTCCCCGTGTAAAATAAACATGCAGGTTCTCATCCTTTTTTCCTCATGTTTTTGTAAGTTCACTACAGAAGCTCTTCCAAAGCCCGGTCACCTGATTCTGATCCAGAAGCTGGGGGGTCTCTGCCTCTCCTGTGATCTCTTTGACTTTGACTGAACTCCTTTTGAAAGCACTGCTAAGAGACTCCAGTTCATCATGCTGATTTTACATGAGATAAAATAAGATGTGAGGACTTTGATTTAAGAAGTCATCAAGAAGAGGTGCCTCTTTCGCGAATGGCTCTGTCGTTAGGGGTCGTGCTTTGGCCAAAATAAAAGCCCCATCCAGGCGCTTGACATAGCTTCTTAGCGCTGTACGTTTTGGGGTAGAGAAAGGTAGAGAAAAAAATACCGTCACTGTTTCTAGCAGCAGTATGTCGAAATGTTGATGTGGTTTCTCAAAAAATGACTTGTTTCTCGAAATATTGACTTAGTGTCACAAAATAAGTACTTAAAAAACTACGACATGGCATAACTCAAAAACTCAGGAAAATAAGTCAAAATTTCGAGAGGTTATTATTTTGAAATACTCAGTCAACATTTCAAGGACATAAGTCATTAGTTTGAGATACTAGGTGAATATATCGAGGAAATGCTGACGTACTACTGCCAGAAAGAGGAGGATGCATCTGCATTTTTCTCGTGTCGTCTTCCAGTCTTAACGTTTTATTTTGACCAAAAGGATCACTAAACAAAAGCATACGACTAAGAAAGGGTTTTAGGGTTTTTGACCTCAAAGCTTTTTAATCTCTATTCCAATTTTTATCCTCTATTTCCATTTTTCATCATAGCACTTTCCTTCTACCCGAGTCATTAATTCCTCCAAAACAGAAATACCGCTAGTTTTATCCTTCTCTACCCACCTCTGTTCCCCCATCGCTCCTCCTCTGGGCGGGTCCCTCGTGCACGCGCTCCGCTACCATGCCAAGTTCGCCCAGTGTGACAGGCTTCGCGGTGGACTGCCCATGTGGGAGCTCCTTGTGGAGGAGACAGAGCTGTAGGTCTATTTCTATGGCACGGGCTTTTGGGAATGCTGACGACCGAGCGTCCTTTTGGCGTCTTTTCTGTTTTTGTCAAAATTAAAATTGGCGCGAGAAGGAAAACGTGTCCATCAAGTGTCTCATAGTGTTTTTTTCTCTCCGAAAGCACTCATTACGTGGGATTAATGGAGATTTTTCGAAACAAATCCACCCATGCCATGAAGCGTGACCCCGCTGGTCTCGTATGGGACAGTTTCTTCAATGGCGTGACGGCTGCTCAGAGTCGGTTTTATCGTAAAGGACCGTGATATCCCCCAGAACAGCAGAACAGTAGCGCGCGTTCCGTCCCCTCCAGGACCTTTACTTTTTTATTTGGAAGTTTTTGGAAAGTCCACAGCTCTACCTAACAAACTGGATCTAAGATGAAAAGCCACCGCTTTGCTCTTGCGGGCTTATGGTGGAGCTCTTATTGCATGTTCCTCGTGGCGGGTAGCGGTAATTTAGTTGATTTTAACAACGATCTTCAGCTGCATCGGCGGCTGCGGACTCACGAAAAGCGAGAAATGCAGAAGGAAATCCTGTCCATCCTCGGACTGCCGCACAGACCCAGACCGCATCTGCTCAACGGCAAGTACAATTCCGCGCCGCTTTTCATGCTGAACCTGTACAACACGATAAACAGCGAGGAGAGAAACGAAGTGGACGGCATTTTAGATCAGTATAAGTCCATGTTCACCACGCCGGGACCCCCTTTAGCCACATCTCAAGACAACGCTTACTTGAACGACGCTGACATGGTGATGAGCTTCGTAAATTTGGGTGAGTAAATTTGGGTGTTTTTTTTTTCCCTCTGCGTCTTTTCAGCTGTGCTGAGCTGTTGGGTGTAAAGTGCTGGATGCACGTGTCAGGGCAACCCATTCTGGGACATTCTTCGCCCTCCGAGCGCGTGCTGCTGTCGACCTGATTCTGTCAAAATTGAGAAAACATTACATCTAAAGTGGAAGATTCAAAGAGCGTGCAGTATTCTCACATGCCAAACCGCCATAGTCGTTCCACCACTGCGCATAAAGAAGAACCGCAACTTTTGCGCATCGAGTTGCGCAACATAATCTAGACTAAAACATACGCCTGAATGAACAAAACAAGCACATGGAAGTAGCACACGTTGATATTGTTTGCATGAACATAGTGGGCATTACTGTAACCCAAACTCGCGCGCGCGCTTGGGCTACTGCGATTGCACGGCAGGATCCCCGTGGACATAGCATACGCAGAAAACATTAAACACGTTCATGACGGTGTTAGTATGTATTGTTTGCCTAAGGTAGGTCAAAGCAGATCAGCGCACTGAAGCCTAAAGATTTAAAATGTGTGCTATAAACAGGCGGGTATATCCTCTCCAGCCTGTATCCGTTCTGCCACATCATGCAGGCACAGGTGCACCAAGTCATTTCAGATGAAGAGCAGTACCTACTGCAGATGTCTTTCTCAGCACGTCTAATTGAGAAGACGGTAACATTTATGCTTGTTAATTCATTCTTATTGTTAAACAGTAACAGTGAACTAATCAGCGTGCGAGTCGTCCACCTTTAAAAAACTTAAAAAGTTTTAGACACATATGACAGATCAACTAGCCTACGTAATATCCTCCCACCTTTACACACGTTTAAGTTAAAGTAAGCTATATTAACATGTTTTTCAGAGATTCGCAAAGCACTATGGGCATCTTTACCGATACTTGATTCACAGCCGCCTTCATTCTGGCGTGCGAATTAGCATGTGACATTATCCTAAAACACAAAATCATTTCAGCCCAAGCAGGAATCGCTTTGATCTTGTTGCATAAAAGAATCGCTCAAGACGCACTTGTAACGACTAAATTATGGAATTCATAAGGAAATTCAAGAGGAAACGTGTATGCTAATTAAGGGAAAGAGTGTAGACTAAATTATGGAATTCAATGGGAACTAAAGGGAAAGGTGCAGGCTGAATTATGGAATTAGAGCGATGAAAGCTTAATTGCTGGTAGGAGAGTCAGGCCTTGTCCAAAAAGGGAGTAAAACAGGAGCATAACGCGCTGCTGTTCACTGTTGGAGAAGAAACAAACACGGCTTGGCAGGTCAGAATTGCTGTGGACTGAGGGCTACAAGTCTTGAGAAATCCATAAAGAGCTTGGGAATGGTTTGGAGGATCGCCCTTTATTCTCCTTAATGAGAGCAAATCTCTCTCACTCTGTGTGCTTTCTGTCCTGAGCGCAGCAGACTGTCCTGCTTTCTCACGCCCGCAGCTCTTTGAATGCGATTGCAGTTAATGTTAGCTGCAGCCAAAACGCACCATCTGCTTTGGAGATAAGTCGTAGGATCCTGTTGACTGCCGTTCACTACAAATTGCGTCGACGTTTACGTGCTGTCACGCTGAGCCAGTAGCGGACGAGCTCGGTGGTCTTGACGGTGTTTATTTAACGTTTTTTTTAAGAGGTGGGGGTATTGCTGGCGGTTTGGAGATGACTCGCTTATGATCGTCCCAGCGCACCACCCGTGAGTCATCCCCAAAAGGCAGAGAAAAAGGAACATGTGCGCCGATGTTTACATAACTGCTCTTCGTTCCTTATTCAGAAACGGCGTTTCTGTTTATCTGATGGTGACAGTTTTGGTGGTCTATGAGGTCCTGCACGGTTGCTAGGAGTCCCATTTTCTCTGTATCTTTAAACGTTAAATGTTTTTAACTCCAGTTTGGAAAACTCCTGTTTTTGCTCTTCTTCTTTTTTGATTTTCCTCTTCTTTATGCAAGTGGACTATCTTACATCTAATTTCCTCAAAATACGTCCTGAAAAATGAATAATTTGTATTCAGTAGCTATTTTGACTGGAAATTAAGTAAGTGAATGGTGGTCTCTGACTTTTGCACTGTATTTCTTATTTTCGTTAAAATGGCACCCTTCTCTCTGTATTTTTTCCACCTGTTCGAGTGGCTAGGACTTTTCCAGTTAGCTTGCTAAACAGAAGTCTCTCTCTCTCTCTCTCTCTCTCTCTCTCTCTCTCTCTCTCTCTCTCTCTCTCTCTCTCTCTCCCTCTCTCACTCAGTCACTCACACAAACACACAAAGTTTCTATTCCTGTCTTTGTTTGGTGTTTCCACTGACGTCTGTATTACTGCAGAAGACTAAATACTACTTAGCCTATAGACCTAAATCTAACCTTAACCTCAGAATCAAAAAATAAATGTTTTAGATTTTTTCTCTTTTCAAATTAAGGCTGTAATTTTGTTTAAAAAAACTAAAAGGATGAGCCAAATGTCCACACAATATGAGAATATCCACATTTTCCTATCATCCAGGGGACATTTAGTCTTCAAAAGAGCTAAATACATGGCCACACATATGGAGACACTGATGCTGGAGTTAAGGGCCTCCTTTTTGGACTGTCTGAGTGGAGAACGGAATCTCTCGTGAATCATTATGTCTTGCGGAAATGTCATAGTTGTTCTAATGTCAGTCCAGCTGATCCCTGATGGACTTCTCAGCTCTGTCAGACGGCTCGCGGCCTGTTCTTGGCATACAGAGCTATGAAAAACTCCCGTGCCTTGTGTGTGCTCATAATGTTGTGTTCTGCCTTTATTTGTAACTGAGGGGATCTTCCAGTAATCCAGGGAAAATCCTGAAGGAATAAAACTTCACTGTGCTCTTGTTTTTACATAGCTGTCATCATTGTGTACCCAGGGCCTTTTTATTGTGGATTATATTGTGGCTTCTGAATTGAAAGAAAGCTCTGAATCCGTCAATGAAATAGCCACTTTTAAGGATATAATTCAAGCCTGGATACAGAATCTGGCCCTTGTCTTGTGTACTCTTTCTTTGCTATCTCTCTCTCTCTACATATATATATATATATATATATATATATATATATATATATATATATATATATCTGTTAGACTTACTTGATAAGTGTTTGTTGTGTCAATGCAGTTTTGTTGAGTAAAACTAAGCACCTTTTTCACTGGCTCCTGACATCATCTATTCACATATGGTTTACTTATTTTACTCACCGTCTTTGTGTTGTTTTCCCCCTTGTGTGTGCATATATCTCATACTTCTTGGATAACTGTCTAACCTCCTTTAGGTACTGTAACAGTGAGTTACCATGTGTCCTGCTGCTAAGCATGTTTCTTTGATGGCTGGGTAGTACAATAACTATTTAACTGAATTATTTTATAGCTGAAACTCATAGTTTGCTTCTTCTGTTTCCTTCTATCTTTAGTTGAACATACCCACATTAAGTTAAAACAACCTGGCCTGGGTTTCCCGAAACCATCTTAGCACAATGGTGATTCTTGTAGAGTGAACATCACTCTGAACACTCTCTCTACCACTTAAGATTTTTTTAACACTCACATGCTTTTGGGAAACTGGGCTCAGTCTAGTTTATTAGCATTTAATCAGATCGCATTTGTGTGATTTACTTGCATTTGCTGAGTACATATTAGTTATTGAACTAACTAAGAAGCGAATTTATAAGTGCATGGCATCACTTTTTGTATTTACTATTTGTAAGTAAATTCAACATTTATTTTTTAAGTATACTGTTTCTCTTTTTCTCTGCTGATTATCTCGCTCTGTTGTTTCCCTCTGCTATTTCTCTTCCCCCGTTTTGCTCTTTCTCTTGCTCTCTCTCTCTCTCTGCTGTTATTCTCTTTCTCTCTCTGTCTCTCTCTCTCTCTCTCTCTCTCTCTCTCTCTCTCTCTCTCTCTCTCTCTCTCTCTGTCATTTCCCCGTCATTTTCCCACTTACCAAAGTCCCTCAAGACAGAAGTAAAAGTTCTTGTCTCTGTAACTATAAAGCATCCACATTCTGAGGATAGGGAGTTTCACTGGAGTTTAACAGGGTCTTGACAATCCTGGCTAATCACTTGTATGAAAAAAAAAAAGCTCTTCTGTTTCTCCCCTGTGCCTCCCCTCTCTTTAGAAAGTCTTTCAGTGCCCTGGAACGTTGTTGATCTCCAAATCCATTCTGGTGCTGAACATGTACCTGTGGCCAAGTCTTACCAAGTCTAATTAGTTAGGCATGATCAAAGAGTTAAATGTTGTGAGGCTTTGACTAATACCAGTTATCCTTTCTGAAAGACTACCCAGTTATCACACACAGAGGAGTGCCGTATCCACACTGTTTGGTGAGCAGGGTGTTAACATGGAAATTAAGGGAGGAATTTGAGTTATGTTCCAGCTTACAATAGAAGAAAGGGGATTTTCTTGGGAATGACTCAGCAGAGACTGGAACCAGAGGGGGACATAAAACATTGTATCTTGTTTTAGCAGTGGACTAGCATGAGTATTATATACTTCAAGACAGCTTTTCGGGACATAAGCTTAGTGATAGTTCTTTCTTTTTAGTCTGCCTTATACTTGCTTTATGCATGAAAAAATTACCTGCAAGGCATTCACATTCGTGGACAGCACTGTCCCAGTTTAATTAAAGTCATATTTAAGAATAGGACAGTCTATTTGCTATCTGTCTAAGTCTAAATTTAATTTTTAATAATTCCTATATGAAAGAGTTAATGTTTATGAAAAATGAAGCAAAACTCGTTTGCAGCTTTGTTACATTTGCTACAGAGAACCAGCAGCTGAAACATCAGTCAATGTCCTTAGTTGCTTGCTCCCACCCTGGAGATAACTCTCAGAGATCCTCAGATGAAGTAAACATTTTCAGACTCTGATTATCCAACGAAGAATGTGACTTTTAATCTCTGGGCCTAACACACGCATGCTCAAACACACGGCTGGTGACCGGGAGGTCAGAGATAAGGGTTTTGAGGAGACTGTC